TTTTTCTCAAAACTACATTTTTCAAATTGGCTGCAGTTGTAACTCGAAGAAGAATCATTCGATCGCTTTGATTTTTTTTCTGCTTATTTCGTATATGTTTATCTGTACAATGATCTAAAAGTTTTTCGATTGTATAAAAAATGTAATTTTGGCGGGCCAAAAATCATCAAAATTTTCAGCAAAATTCGATTTTTTTTTTAAAAAGTCTGCCATTTTGTTAAATTTCAATTTTTTTACAATTTTCGGTCATTGTATAGGCAATACCTTCTAGATTAACAGTATTTTTTTTTTGTTTCACCCACAGTGAAGGCCGGAATCACTGCAGCTGTTTAGGCCCTTTTTTTTATAGTGACTTGGGAGATAGCGAATAACTCGCTAAAAATTATCTTTTTTCATTTGAAAATTTTAGTGAATATTCGTTAATTATGTATAAATATATCCTCTAAATTTTAAAATATTTCATGCAGTAGTTTTCTTTAAAAAAATTTCTAAAAATCACCTTTTTTTTAGGCGGTCACACTAGGCGTGCCCCTTAAAATTGAATTTGCGCCTCGCTATCGATTGAATTTTACTTTCCTGAAAAATCTTTCTCAACAATATAGGAATTAAGATTATTTGTCATATATATATATATATATATATATATATATATAACGGATCGCGTTGTGAGAAAAAATGCTTCCCCACTCCCCCACTCGTTTGAAACGAATTAAACGCGAACCAAAAATTCATTTTCCCGTTAAACAGGTTAATAAATACTCATGTTCAATTTTGATCCTAGCCAGGTTGATAATAATCCTCTCCTCTCAATAATTTCATCTCTGTGAGAGTCAATCTCGAGAAATATTAATACGGTTTTAAAACGTCTAGGAGAAGCTTGTAGCACTAAAAGTAATCAGAGTTCTTTCTTCCTCAGAGCTAATCGTGAAATAAGGCAAGGTCTTAATATTAGATGCGAAAGGAAGAGAAAGATAGAAAGATAGAAAAGGGAAAGAGGAAATTGGATAGCAGAGTTAATCTCAATGGCAGACCTTTTTCCTATCTAACGTTTAGGATCTTTCCACGTGGCGTTTTCTGAAGAACTCTCCGATTATCTACCGATCAGCCACATTTTCTCCTAGGGGAGGATTATCCTATCGATGATAATTAAACATTAGAATCGAACCAGTATTGCAGTTTTATCTCCTTCGCAATTGGATAATTGTGAAGTGGTGTTTCCGCAGAGAGAGAAAAAGAGAAATGACTACTCGACTCATAAAAGGGAGAATAAGAATAAAAAAAGAAAAATAATAATTGCCAATAATTGCCAATAATTGCCGATAGCATATGAGACGAGTATTTTTAACGATATCTCGATAATTCAACTATGGACCTACATTATTGTAAAAATAAATCAATATATTTTAATATACATATATTAATAATAA